GGGGAGGGGGCACGCAGGGACGGTCGCCGGTGGAATCCTCTAAGACGACACGAAGGGAAGGGAGAAGGATGGGGCAGTGCTGGTAGCGAGGGCAGAGGTCGTCTGGACGACGGAAGATTGGAGATTCTGGCGCCGGAACTAGTTCTGAAAGTTCACGGATAGAAGAAAAAATTGATATCACGTGTTTAATAATAAACGTAATAAAATCTTTAAAGTTTATGCATACCTATTTCTGGCAGCGAATAGTATTTATTTACTTAAAGAAAATTTTGAATTTTATCTTCTTATCTGCTTCCCGGACAACATTAGAAGGACCTCCGTACAAAATACAGAGCCCTTTTCTTGGGATGAAGAATGAATCTGAATAATATGAGTTACAATCCCCTGCGACTGATAATGAACTCATGAAAACACTATGTTGAAGATCGTTGAAGAAATGAAGCAGATACCTTGCATCTTAATGTGTTATACGAAAGTTGAATTGGCGAATTTGAGAAGACGAATATTTTGTGGTAAGAACAGTGAAGAGTGGTAAGGGCGAGTATAACGTTGAGGGCGATAGGGAACGAAAACGTGACGAAAACGGGCGACGGGACAACAACGAGGGCGGTAAACGCCACACTCAGTGCATGGGTCACAAGCCGCCGAGGGTAACGAGGCGGGGAGGGGGGCGTGGCAGCGAAGTGGGGGGGGAGAGGGGAGGACGGCGTATGACGCACGGCGAGGGACGCGGGAGGTAGGCCGAGGTCGGGCAGGCAGTTCCGGAAGCCCGAAGGGCGATCGTCCGTCACGTCGCGTAACGGAGGCCCGCCGATAAGCAGCGGGGCGGTGCGCGACGAGTGGCTAGTGGCGCGGTCAGCCGCCAGGGCCATCGGGGGCAGTAATCGCTTCCACATCGCTGCGCGATGGAGAGGGACTCCGCGCGCCACTCTCCGCCCCCCCTGCCGATCGGCCGCCGATAAAACGGGACGTGAACTGCATCCACCGGAGGCACAAAGGGCGACCTTTATACTGTGGCCGCTTTCTATTTATATGCGATCAAGGTTTTAATTCTACACACACACACACACTCACACGTCCCTCAATACATTTTCTCGCACACATGTTCCTAGGAACCTCAGAGACGATATCTAAGAAAATATCACTAGAAACTTCAAATTTGTTCTTAACAAATAATTTTTAGTAAATTTGTTTAAAGGACTGACAATAAGTATCGTAGAATATCGTAGGATTTGTTAATAACGAGTACTACCACTTTGTCTTTAATTCAATCTCAAATGTATTGCGAGGTGATGTGTTTCCGCGTCTGACCGAGCGCTCGTTTCGTGTTGCAGGACGACGACCTGAAGGCGCGCCAGGAGCGGCGTCGGGGCGGCCCGCGCCCGGCCGGCGGCCTCCCGTGGCTGCGCCTGCTGCCAATGCTCGCGCTCCCGCCCGCGCTGCACGTGCGCCCGCTCTGGGCCGCCGTGCTGCTCCTGCTGGGACTCAAGCTTGCGCGCGCAGTGCTGCAGCGGTAGACGCCGCCCCGCCCTAACTCCTCGCGCAGCAGCTGCAGACGGTCGGTGCGTCTGCAGATGACGCATCTGCAGATGAAAGAACAGATGACTCATCTGCAGATGAAGGAGTCGAAGACGTCCCCTACAGATGTGGTAGCTGATGCAGCTGTTCGGAGAAGAAGAAGAAGATAGAGAGAGAGGGCAGCTGCGACAGCTGAGGCAGCTGTGGGTGTCGCAGAGCAGACCCTTTCACGCAGCTGCGGTGTTCAACCTAGACACGTCGCAATACTTCAGTTGTCTCAGCCAGGGGATCATCGTGACGTGCTTTGTTTATTTCCAAAGAGATTTCCAAAATTTTCACTATATTTAAGAAAAAAGACATTTCAAGATTTTGTGTTTTCTCATTTCAATACTATTTGTTTTTGGGCCACTTCGGCGCATTGTAAGAATGGACGCTTCTTTGTATATTACTTTTAGTGTTACTCAGGTTTTTTCTTGTAGAATTTAGCATTTAAGTTCATTAAATTCATTTATATAAAGCCATATTTTCCGTTTTTGTTAATTATTATTTTTTTTTTTTTTGTTTTGATATCGAGTTCGATATCTACCATATAGATTTTCGTGTCTCACCCTCGGGTGGGGCACCATCTATTTTGCAAAGTTTTCAAATGATCTCTTAAAAGTAGAGTAGTTTACCCACGAGCTCGAAGGTTTGAAGGTCTCACCACAATGTCCTTCTCTCCCGTAGAGTCGTGGTTTCTTTCTTGCTTGTACATAGTCCTGTCCTTTTGTTCTTTCGCAGTGCCACGCAGTTGGCCTAGCCTAGTTGATATTGTGTTCAAGGCGGGTCATATTCCGCGCCCGGCCGCTCGAGGAAAGGGCCACGCCGCCAAAGAGTGGGCGTGCCTCAAGCGCCATTTTTGGGCCATTTTTTTCTGGATGAAAGCTAGGACATTAGTTGTGCTGGGAAAGAGAGGTCTAAATTTTGTGAAATTTATTTTTCTGAGCTCAACTGTCAGCCGCCAATCCTTGCAAATGTCGATGATTTTACAACTAGGCATTCATAGTTCATTATATATGAATGAACCACTTAAAAATATTGCATGTAATCTGAAACCGATCGTTTTTCTACGTTTAGTTAAAATATTTTTGAAAAAACACATTGAAATATAAAAAAAACGTTCTTTTGTTTTGCATCCAAAACATTTCTTAAACGAGAATTTCAAAATTCATTGTTTAGTTTCCTTCACATTAAATATTCCTATCAAGTCGAGTGACTAGATTTTAGTTGACGATTGTGAACAATTAAATAGAAAACGAATTTAAATCGTCGTTAACGGATTTTGCGTCACTGGCATCGCCCCTCAGCGACACGAGTCGCCAAGAGGCTTGCTGGACGTGTTCCGGACAGTGCATGCCTTCGCTTCCCCAGCAAGGGGGGTTGTGTGTGTTTGGGCCCAGTGCTCGACGTTCCTGTACATTTTGGAGACAATCATAGGCGCGATGAGAGGCCCGCGGCCAGGCGCGGATGACTGATGAGACCGCGCCTCTTATAATTTCTATGAAGAGAGAAGTATAAATACAATATGTTTTGCATGTAAATATTAGCTTTTTCTAAGTATATATACAAACATATATTACATATATTAAAGTTTATATAATATTATATTTTACGATTTTTTGATGAGCATTTCAAGTAAGCTGATGTCTGTGAGGAAATTGAAGATTTCGGCGTCGGTTCGTCCCTTCTTAGGCGTCCCGGCCACTCGGATCTTAGGCGGTCCGTCCAGGCCGCCGTTCTCAGTTCCAAAGTAGGCGCCGCGGGTGAAAGCAGAACCTTCCACCGGCTCTTTCTCGAACATGCGTGGTGCCGTTTACCATCAAGTTGGTTCCTAACAGTTCCGTTTAAGCAGATCTTACTTTCAGAGGTTTCAAAAGGAAGTTACGTTGTGCGAGTGGCACCGGTGGTTGGTACTGCTTTTACTTTCGGTACAGTAGTTGTGAAGAGTGGCACGGGAGGTCGCGAGTGCACCTAAACCATCTTGTATATAATATGTTCCCCTAAGGAGAGGGGGTGGCGTTAGGTGTGCCTTGTCAGAACGGACGCAGACGTCAGGAATCTCCGCCCATCAAAGCGTACTGTGATTACATAAAATATTTGTCTAATTATGGCAATATATAGTAAGAAATTATAATTTTTGTGTATTTCTTTCCACTGATCTCGTGAAAATAATTTATAATAATAATAATAATTACAGTTTTGTTTTGTTTTAAATATCTGAATAATTATGTTTTGATTTTCACTAGTCAGTGTAGACATTTTTGTTAATTTCGTGTGTTCTTTAGATGTAGAAAATTAGAACATTTTTGTGTCCCCGACATTTGTTTCTAAACCAGCTATCAATGGAATAGTTTGACAAGCTACGTGCCAAACATAGCAGTAGCTGGGAAAATCCCACACCAACAAGCCCGCAAGTCGCAACGCCTGTCTGAGCTCTTTACGTTACTAAATCCTCTTGTCTATTCGCTGTCCGTAGATCGCCTAGATTATATTTCCGTACTTTAAAAAAATGAGAAGCGTTCTAAAAAAAAAACCAAAGTATACCAAAGGAAGACGACGTTTTAACGAGAGATCCCTGCGTTGCCGGGGAGAAGCTTTCGAGTCAAATACAGAACGCCGCATGCGCGTTCAGACTTATAGTCAACAAGAGAACTGATCACGTGGATAGACTAAATTAACATTCCCGAACCACGGGGATTCCCCGGAGGTGTCGCTTGTTTCCGTCTGTCATTTCGCGCTCAGGCTGGCGGAGTGAAACGCGGTTTGCGACGCGCGGGGTGGCACATCTCGCCCTGCTGACTGCGACGTGCGGCGGCGTGGGTCGCTAGTGGACCAATTACGTTCGGCCCAGGTTCTCCGACGATTCGGGGCTGGCGCCGATCAATCCTTGTGTTTTTGAAATGCTACGCGTCCATTGTGGGCGTTCGTGTTTTGTTAGAGTTATGCTCTTTGTTGTGTGCTGAGGCAGGCTGCCAGCTGGTGGGCCGCTCGTCTACCAAATGTCTTTCAATTTTGTACAGTTTTTCACTTTTATATAGTTATTGAGTTTTTGGAAATAAATGTAAACTTGCTAAATCAAATTGTGTGACTTGTTATTGGTTGATCTTCACCCCCTGTCCTTCACCTGACTCAGATCCTTATCCAACGGAGCACTACAGTACAAGAGTATGTAATGCATGCGATGAAAGCACCGAGAATGTTGATGTCCAGAGATAAAGACAGTTTTAGAATATTTATTAATAACTGGACGAAAATGAAATTATTCAACAGTACGAATTCAAGAAATAACTTAATAAAGAAGAAAGTTTCGACATTTTGAATTTTTAAATTCAGGATTATTTACTATCTAAATTTGAATTATTTTGTAAAGAAAAGTGTGACTACATAAATTAAGAGAAAGCATTACCAAAGTTACTACTCCGTTGAGACAAAGGATGACAACTAAAGAATTTCGTCATCCAAAAATTCAGACCTTTAATATTTATGACAAAGTCAATTCGTAAGAATACATTGCTTGGAGTGAAAGCGTTTGGGCATATAAAACGTCTTAACCCATTTTCAGGAAATAAAAAGAAACTACTTGTGAAAAAACACAGTAAGCCCATGTGAACAATTATATTCTACCGAAAGTACATTGTAATGTTTGATGATTACGATACAAATTCTTGATATATCATTGAATGCACAAGTTGTATTTAGAATGCTCATATGCAAAAATACGTTAATAAACTCAAAATAAACGGTTAAATAAAAAATAAGAAGTAAAAATTGATATTTGAACGTTAACAGAGTACCAATTACTTATAAAAAAATTAAGATCATTGCCTCATGGAATAATTTTATGAAAACATTGAAGAAATTAATTCGGATAAGATAAATAAAAACATGTTTCTGTGTTGTTTTTTAAATCAAAAGAATATATCAAAATAGATTTATGCCCAAATTATTTAGAGTATTAATTGCGTCCGTACAAAGAGTTTAAAGAAAACATTTGAAGTCGTTTTTGAGAAAATATGTTGTTGTTGAACATTTGAAGTTGTTTTTTTTTATTTTTTAATATTGTCAACATTTTATTCAATATATTGCAAATACTACCAACATTTTCAAAAAATCCACATGCCATTAAATAAATAATTTGTAAAGAATAAATTTCATTCAAAGAAAAAATATCTATCTTCAACATTGTAGTTTGAAGAAGACGTCGAAAAAATCAATATTTTGCAGTTTTTGAAAATTCAGAGTTACAGTGAAAATCGGACCTACACCATCTTGTCTTCAACTCCTTCCTTGAAAGACATTTTAAGAAATAATTTGGAGTCATTTTTGAGAAATTTTTGAAAATGTCTCAGGAGTTTCATATAGTGTCCCTAAAATTTAAAGAATAATTTTTTATAACTCGCGCTGACAGACGGTATCAAGGTCCTACAAATCGTGAATTCGGACTAAATAACGTGTTAGAGAAAGTAATTTACTACATATTGGGTAACGATTTATTCATTTTTTTTTGTGTCAGGGCCCCACATTAAGAGTAATTCTCTATAAACAATCGTTTTCGCCGCAGCATTACATATCTTTCTCTATACTACGTTTATTACCACGCGTATACGTTCGCATATGAGAAAGTAAAATATGGAGTTATAGATATTATTTAAAACTAAGTAACGTAAACAAATCACACAATTCGAAGCACAGAAGAGAACCAAAACATTCCTAAAATACAAGGTTTTTCTACGCGACTGAGTTCCCATCATGCCTCCACATTTTCGCATCCTGAGGCCACCGCCACAAATAGCAAACATACAGCGGTTCATCCTGATGGCAGTTCCCTCGCAACATCTTTCCGATAAAACACGTCGCAATATATCACGCCACGAGGCGGAAGACAGGGAGCCGACCTCCCCATCCCNNNNCGTCCTCCTTCACCGCCATCTTCCCCCACCACTGCGACCCGTCGACAAAAGGCGGTCGCAGTCTTCCCGGCGCGGCGCTCCGTATTAATCTTTGGGAGGGCCGCAATCCGTACTGGCGTCGCCAAGTTCCTTTTCGTTCTTTGTCCCCCGAACGCGGGAGAGAATTACGAGAGCCATTAGGTGGCCGAGGAAGATGGTCGATATGAGAAAAGGAACAAAAAAGAAGAGGAGATTCGGGCCCCAAAACTTCAGATTTATTGAAAGCTCGAGCTGAGCAGGCCTGGACTTGCTCCAAGAGTGCAGGTAAGAACAAGGGCAGTGGGAACTGGAGAATGAGTGCTGAGCAAACAGTGAAAGGGTTGCTGGTGGATGCTGAGCGAACAAAGACGACTACAAGGGTTTAAGACAAAATCATTTGATGTCAGTTTTCAGCAATGAGTTATTTTTATTTGGCTGTTCGATTAAAAAATGTCGTTTTCTGATAAATATTGAGTAATATATTAGTATAATTTAGGATCATACACAACGCTGTTGCTTATTTCCGGAAGTGAATTTGATATGTAGTCTGAATTGAACGCACTCCTTTAGACGTCCCCGTTTAGATCAATGTGGTAGAGAATCTCAATTTATTGCAACAAATTAGCATTAACTCTTGCTACAAAAGGGCTCAAGTTGTGATTACTAAAAGAAAATATTTCATTTTCATTTATTTTATTTACATTGTTTTATTAGCTTAAAACAACAAATAACTTCAATGCAATCATGAGTGAAATTGAATACTTAGCTTCATATTAGCCAAAACCTTGTGGTTACATCACACAAAAGGAATAACTGCAGAAATGTTACAACAGTAAAGTACTGCGTATGCATGAAGGGATAAACGTAACTCCCAAAAATATTGTTGAGTATCTATGGCCCATGGCTAATTAAATTTTATTTATTTTCGTAAAAACTGTGTGTTACGTGCTATGGGAAGAAATTAAATGAAGTTTCATTTATGTCCAGAAGCAAATCAAATGGCCATCGCAGCATTTGCTCAAGAATCAGGGAAACTGGACGAAAATCTGATCGAGATGGGGGCATTGACCCTGAATCTAAAGTACAATACTTGTTACAGGTTATGTCATCTGGTAAGGTGTTGTAAAATAATGTATATATATTGTGTGTGAATTTTTTCTAGTGAGCTGTTGATACCAGCGATGTGCTGAAAAATATTCCCGCCCTTAAGTAAATATTTTTTAATAAAAACCACTGATTTATATACCAAGAGATAAGATAGTGTTAAGATAACTAGATTAATAAAGAGAGGCTTACAAGGATCGCGTGGGTGGGATTTGCTTATTATTCATACAATTCTTTTTTGTAAACTAAAAGTCGGGGAGCTAAAAGATGAATTTCCTCATAATATTATGTCATATCTCATGTGGGAATGAACATTCGTGAAATATACTCAAGCAGTGTGGAGGCTGACTGAATATGACAGAATTCTGAAAGCGTAGCATAAAGAACTTAATTTAGTGTTCATTTCATTTAAATACGTTCCTTTTAAGGTTTGGCTGAATTGAAAGACCTAAAAATTTCGTTACCTTAACATCAGTAAATGGCACACCGTTCATTTTCAGTGAAGTGCAGAGCTTTTTATTTGAAATAGAAAACTGCATTGATATTTTTATTTTCATTTACTATTAAGTTGTTATTACGGATCCAATTTGAAATATCTTGCTATTGTACTATTTACGGTTTCTTTATTGCAAAGAATATATGTATCATCCGCAAAGAGAACTGTTCTTCCGTTTCTAATCTTCGAGGGCATATAGTTTACGTATAGTAGGAAGAGAATGCGGCCTAAAATCGATCCCTGCAAGAATGAGTGAGAGTTACAAATTCTGGACCAATACAACAACTATTCACTGCGAGCACAGAGCCAAACATGTTTCTGAAAATGTTTCTTATTATTTACTAAGGTCCAGTTGTATATTTTACCAAGATCAATGTTGTAATGGACTTTCTGTAGGAAATATTGCTATCCATCATAACTTACAACTTAATCATTCACTTGTAATTATAATCTTTTTTTTTGTATTTCATGAAACCGGACCAAAGTTTTGTCGGTACTAAGTTCGTTAATTCAACAGGCAAGAAATGACATTGCCGGATGATTGAGGAAAATAATACCCATGCGAAGTTAGAAATCCTCTGAAAAATTGAAGATAGTAAATTAAAATTCAATTTTTGAACTGATACCTCTTTCTCCATTAAAGGTAATTTTAATAGATCTGATTTAGTCTTCTGAACCGCCTTAACATGTCTGTCATAATTCATAAAAATCGCTCGAAACAGTATATAAATAAGTAGCAGTACGGGCCACGTCAATTAAATTGTAATTTAGCATTTCTAACTGAGAAGAGAACGATCTATTAAAGCACTTTAATTATGATGATATGACAATAACTAATGAAAACAATTTTCTGCGACAAAACACTGCCTTAAGCCGTCCACGTACAGAAACAAACACTAAACATTTTTACCTTTTAGTTAATGGAATGTCTATGTTTTCAGTTTCCTGAACAGGTGCAGAAAATCCAATGAACATTTTCTAAGAGTAAGTCCCAATGAATCTGATGAAGAAATATTGAATACCTATCTAATGATCGTTTTGAGTGGAGTCCAAAGAGGTGCCAACTCTCCACGTTTGTACAAAATAAAATATTCATTAGTACAAAACCATTCTATGAATTTTTAACGATCGACAAGAGACACTCGCCTAGATTTATATAGGACCTCTTCAGAAGAACATTCTACATTGATTTTTTCAAAATTTGTGAAATGTTTTATTTCAAGGAAGTTGTAATAATTTTACATACATTTTTAGGGGAAAAATTCTCAAGGACTTTTCAGTGGACTGAAGCTTCTCCTCATCCTTTTACTTTAGAACTTGAGTCCTGATTTCTCGGAAAGCTTATGTGAAAAAAAAAATCATTCTGGCCAAAGTGCTTTACTACAACATGTATTCTGATACAGCAAAGTCTTGAATCATCAACGATGACCAGCCCTTAATAGCTGTGATAGAAGTGCATATTAAATTCTGTGTTTATTAATAGTTCTTCTTTAAAAGTTCCATGTAATAGTTCACAATTCTCCAAGTGTCTCGAATCCAATTGT